GCTAATTTCTAACACTGTCTAAGCCACCGATGCTTCTGGATTGATAAATATCACCTACATCGTTAGTTGACACAATCTGTTGTTGTTCGGACTTTATCGATCTAAACTGAGGGCAGTGGTCATGATAACGGTCACTTCCATTGTTAAAGCATAGCAACGAATACCGTCTTTTTTTGTCATTCGTTCCCTAGTAAAACCAAATACAAGAATTGATCACTATCCGTTGGATAAAGTGTCTGCTTCTGCAGTTTCTTTTGTGTATACTCATTTAATTATTCCTGTGAAACCAGTTACGTAGGTCGCACAACCAGACGCTTACCTGAACATATCCGTGATCATAACCGGGCCCGGATCGACAACAGAGTCGCCAAGACCTATGCAATTGTGGCTTACCTTGTCGACTCGAACCATACTATCAACGCGGCCTCTTCTTTTCGTCCGAGTTTCTGAGTCCATTGTGGTCAGTCAAAAACAGTGAGATGCCGAATTTTTGCCACAGCTGAGACGATCGGACTTAGACTGACTAATTCACCCTTGTGCTCACAGAAATGCTTCGCTTGGCCTTTGCATGTCTCATGGCCCACCACCCACACCATGACCGATAAGACTGCCACGGTTTCACTTGCGTCATAATTGTGACGTAATTGTAACGGAACCCTTTCTCCATATGTATGTGTGACGTGGCTCACCCCAACAGAACTCGTCACTTTTGGTCGTTTTGCCCTGGCAACACCGTTTTATATAAATGTTATGTATTTATCCTGACGATGAATAACCGAAAACAAGCTTGTTCGCTACAACATTCTTCTGTCGAGTACTCTGGAGATTTATAACCATGTTGTCAGTTTTGAAACTGTATGAATACAACACCATCACCATAATACATGGGATACACAATAGTAATCCATACAATGAAACGTCTGACAACCACTACAGTTGTAATTGTTGCGTTGAGATCCGCTTCGCAGCTATTTTGAGGTATTCAGACATAGCTGTATCCGTTCGGACAATACATTAAGAAGTGCGTTTTGATATCAAATCGTTTGATGAAATCTAACAACATAAGCTCTCATTGTTACTCAAAACTGGGTAAATCTGCTACTCAAAGAATGTTTGCTCAATCCCTTCTCGTCGCCTTCTATGGGGTACACAAATTGATATACATGTTCAACTGCATGGTGCGACTTCTTGGCTTGGCTGGTTAAGCGTTTGTCTTGTCTGGGAATACTCTCCTTGTAGCTAGTTCGAAACCTATCGAAGCTCATTATGTTCACAATAAGGTCTAATCCGAATTGACTAATCTACCAAACTACCTATCAGTAATACACTTTCAGTGCCTAACAATAGCATCGATGGATTTCTAGCTAACCTGCTCGATAAATCTTGATAGGGTCATCGATCCCCTGGATCGCTTGGTGAGTTCGATCCGTGACAATGTAAAGAGTAAATAACTGAATCCAAATGGGAAATTTATGAGCTCCCTGAATGGATTCATATCCTAACTGGTGAAGCGCTTGCTGTCTTTGAGTACATCGCTTTTTTCATCGTTTCTGGTCCAGCCGAAGTCCAGATTTTTCAAAATTGGGTCTTCTCCAAATAAACATATCTGTCGAAGAACTTGCAAAATACAAATCTACCACCTCATATTTGTGCAAGTCATGAAGTAAGATAGAATAAACAACGTCGTGGAAAATCTGGTCCGGTCAGTATAAATATGTAATCACAGAAACATTGATAAATATGAAGTTATGTAAAAGTTGGTAGCATAATGTTTGTGTGGGTAGGTCGGCGGCACGGATTCCAGCGGCCAATAAATCAGCGTCAATACTGACTACTGAAAATTTGGTGGTAGTGTAAATTATTCTTTGGAACAATTCGATACTTATGGGACAACTGTGTTGACCACTGCGCTATTGTCCCCACACTAGACACGACCTAATTATCATATCCGAACGCTCAGTCACTCTCGCTTGTGACCAATGATCAAATTGCCCGATCGTCTCGAAAGGAGACACGGTAACTGCCTGTGATTAAGACTTCCAAGACAGGTCAAAATCTCCCATCTCATTAAACCTGCTAGGCGATACTTTAAATTACTGATGAGTAGACGGAGATTTGGTTAATTTCAAATTGAACATCGCTGACTTTTGGTTGCAGCCTTCGCAGTCAGGTAGACATTTTAGCCAACTTCTTTCGAAAAGAGGCAATAGACTCGGGTTTCGCTTCGATTGGAGTTATCAGGACAGTTATTGTGTCTCCTCTCGAGGCGATCTGGCAACCTGATTATTACTCACAGGCAAAAGTGACCGAGCGTCCACATGTGCTGATTTGGTCGTGCCTGATTTGAAGTCAGTGGTGCAGTAGTCAACACAGCTGTCACACGAAAGCATGACCGGAATTATAATCTCGGCATTGGCAAGGATATGCACGACTGATGAGCTCTAACGACAGTAAAACTCGAGTCTAATGCTTCAATTCGATATTTGGTTTGCTGCTACACACGATTCGTATCAGTAAGCAGTGGTGACCATATGTCTGGGAATGCGGTAGCTAATAGGGACAGGCTGAGAGACAGTAACGGCTGCATACTCTCTCATACCATGTGGAGCTATTTTCATTCAAAACAGAGCAATGCAATCGAATATATCCCACACAACGCGAACTTGACTAGGTTTCCGCGGAAATCGAAATTTGTACCACAAGTGTGAAGTCCCGAAGTTGATCCGATTGTGAAATTCGAGGAACTACTGGTTCGATATGTATACAAATATGAGACAATTCACATTAGCCAGATTAGAGGAAGTTCTGAAACAAATGTAAAGCTATCTGTGAAGCATCTGTCGGAAAATTGCCTAGATAATGTGTGAAAGATTCCAATCAACACAGAGGAACTACTAGCTCCTTACCAATAAGTACCATCTTTAATACCCCTAGAGATTACGGCATGGGAATGTTTCAGACGTTTACAACACATTTGTGGCAGCGTATTTTACGTGTCCTGAAACATGATTGCCTCAATCCGATAAAGTGTATTCCTTTGTAATCTCTACTTAGGGAACCAGGTCAAAATTTAGTTGTTCGTACAGTTTCTTCAAATTTACATCATCCGCATTCATGTTCTACTTTAAGTATATGAAAAAGGCTCATTTACCGAATTAGTCTCCACGTGGCTTAGATAGTTCTTGAAGAAAACTCATTATTATAATGTCTGTGTCAAAACTTTTCAACAAATTACACATTATCTACACGAATTTGTGGCTGAAGATTTTTAGCCACAAATGGTTTTATTTTCTCAGAAAACAGTCAATAGATTTGAATTGGTAGTAGGCCTCATTGTTTGGGATAACAACTAGACGTGATAACTCTACTGTGTTTATTGCGCAGTCAGTAACACAGTGATCAACACGACTACTTCATTGGAATGCTGAACAGAAGTCAAACTGTAGTCGTATTAAGGATATACCATGCTGTCGAAAAAGATCATCGAATCTAGTGAATCTGTTGGAGAGTCAACGTGAATGTAACAGCAGTGGTCAGATGTGAGTATGCGTTCAGTAATCAGTTACCAATCACGAGTTGAAAAAAAACGCAACAAATTAAACACTACTTTAAGTAACTGGACTATGATTTTATTCAGCTAAACTTAAAAATAAGCTTAGATTAGTGATATTTTCCACGATTTTTGTTCGAACGTATTTCTTTGCAATAAGTACATAATGCGGAAATGGAAATTGCATAATATGGGTAAAATTGTCGTCCACGGACAGTATTCTGTTGATGTGTGGTAAAATTCACGAACTCTGACAAGATAGTACAAATTTAATGCATTTGATAGGGTGCAGTTAAATTTTGTTCGAACAGAGCTAGTACAATTTACAAATGTAAGTGCAGTGAGGGCGAGCGATCGCACTACACTACTACTCAGTAGTGGGGCAAGATCATGGATTTTGATAGTAAAGTAACCGCAGGAGATATACAAGAAACATCGGAGTGCATCATGGCATGAAATGATTCTCGGTACATGTAGGGACTGAGTAATGATGTCCGTGGCAGCCGTGACGTTCTGGGATTAGTATCGTACGTAGATGAGTGTTTTTGTTTGTTGTCACGTTGAAACGCATAACCCATGTGTTGGTTTCCTGAATAAATAACCCTTGTGCCATCCGTGTTCTTGGCTCAAAACATCCATTTTTGCTTTCAAACCCCGTTTTAATGAAACTACAACACCGAGTGACACTTCGGTCAGTTACGGGCCGAGCTAAAACTTGTGTAAAAATATACATTTAACCCCATGACATTTCCAAACCCTGCCTTATCGAAACTCGCTAGGTTCAATGAAGTAAGTCATTATTGTAAACAATTCGTACAGTTCTAAATTATAAAACGAAGATTTTGTTCATTCATTTATTTAACAACGAACAACGTCCCCATAAAATCAGTTGAAAGATTATAAACGTATCTGTGCGGGTTCGTCAGGAAAATCGCCGGTTCTGGGCTATGGTTCAGGCTGCAGTTCAATTTCGCAATTCTGTTATCCACCTGTTTCCATGTGATGAGTTTTAAATAAGCATCAAACTGTACACGTTTATCCACAGTTAACTGTTCCGCCTCAGGAAGACTGTGCAACCGATCGTATTCCAGATCAGCTATACAAGTAGCAATTGTATTGATCTCGTTCAACGTATGACGAATGAGGGTTGCGGTCGTCGGCTTCACACGATTTCTCCTTAAAGTACTTGAAAAGTACTTTGGAAGTACTTTGGTTTCTATGCAGGCCTTCAGAAAACCAGTGTTTGCATGCCACCGTATGCCTAATGCTGAACCTGAAGTAACTATTCAAGTTTCTCTGTGTTAATAACGTATAATATACATAACTAATACCAGGTTGTTCATACGTGTAAACTGTATAAATACGGCAAAATACTTGTATAACAACGTTGTTATCAGCTCCGGATTGGATCAAGTACAAAGTAAGACACAGCCGAAGTCCAGATTTTAGTGGCTTCGTAGCTCAACTGGTACAGCATTTGTCGCGTTTTGGCATGTCGTTTTTGTCGCTGGTTCGAATCCAGTCGAAGTCCAGATTTTTCACAAATTATCAAATTTGCCAAACTATTTATCAGTAATGTATGTTGTTGTTGTGACTCGAACAGAATTGAAAAAATAATGAGCTTTGATTATGACGCAGTCTGAACAAAATTATGGCTAATTAATACATACAGTTTACAAAAAATTGAATTATGGGTATAGCGATGTGGATTTGGGAGAAACAGTTAGAGATCACACTCTCCTCCGACTTTTTTTTCTAATGGCTGGCTTGCAATCAGTTTGTCCTGCCTCCTTCTTCACAGAGAGAAGCCGATCCTTCATCCTTTGCACCACGGCGTACAGAGTTGTCTTTCCTCCGGTTGTCGTCAGTTCAGGTCTATTAAGACCTTTTGTAAGCTACACCTCGATTAATTCGGGCAGACTGATTCAGCTTGAATTACACCCAGCTTCCGCTGACGATGGTGGTGTTATCCAGTTGGTCAATAAGAGAATCAGCTTGAGAAAACAGGTCATACCTGAGTGTACTGATCTAAATCAGTTAACTTAACTGTGTGACATGCTTCCTGTAAGTCTTGCTATGGTTTACTGACGTACCTCTGGAGAACTTTACAAAAAATAAATGCTGGTACTTCCGACTTAGTTTTGGTCAGAATTTGTGGGCTCCCGACTGAACTGTTCACTTACTGTTTGTGTATGCGCTGACGTATACAGTACGAGTGTGAGTACATGCATCCAATCGTTCCAACACCATAACTGAAGTACTGACCAATCAAAATGCCACTCAACAAGTTAATGATTTCCGTGATTTCAACTTGCACAGAAGTCCTAGTCGTGGGGTCATTGATTAGAGTTAACAGACAGTAACTGTGTCTCCTCTCGAGGCGATAGGGCAACCTGATCATTACTCACAAGCGAAAGTGGTTGTGCGTTCACATATGATAATTCGGTCGTGCCTGACGTGAGGTCAATGGCGCAGTGGTAAATACGGTTGCCTCATGAAAGTGTGGCCGTGGTTGTGGTCTGGACAGTGGCGAGGATATGCACTACTGGCGAGCTCCAAAAATAGTGAAACTCGAGTCTAGTGCTTCTGCTGTTCGACAGGGGCCGACTGGATAGTCTATGGGAATGCGACAGTTGCGATCAGTTTGGGGTAGTGTTCAATCTATATGAATATAAGGAGTGACCATGTTCCAGTTCTGGTTGACGGTCTCAATAACCTGACTTGTTTAACGTCTGTCTCCACCCCTGGCAGTAATTAACATTAGTCCATTCTACTCGATCCAGTTAGTCTTAAACGATAGTGAACACCACAAATCTGAACGAACCAAACAGATGGCATGTGTGGTGGTCCGTGTGTGCTTGATCGAGTATTCAGTCTTACTGTCCGATCATTCACAGGCCGATCCCAATACAATAAACAATAATGTCTACTAATACCAACACGGTTGAGAAAGACACGTCAGATAGAATGTTAAATCGTTGAAATGCAGATAAATTAATGTATGAAAAAGGACGTTTGCTCCCACGAAACGTCTGAGTTAAGTTGTGCAGTACATTTGTCTATTCAGGTGAGTAAATTACTTGTTACCGTTCAAATAGTTTTGAGCATCAGCAACAGCTCTTGACAATTCTAATTCTGTCGTGCCTGTGAAGGTATTATTGAAATTTAGAATGTCCGACAGTTTTACTCATTTTTTCTAACGAAACCAAAATGTTACTTAAGAATGACAAGACTGAAGCGTTGCTGACAATGGCCAAACCAAAATGTAGATCTAAGATCAAGCAGAGTAACGTGGAAACAATTGTCCAATTAATGCTGATATTGTAGTCGTTGGACAACACACTGAAGGGAACACCGAGGAGTTCCGGGCATTGATTAAAAGTTACTGACGGTTGTCCGTCTGATTTGTGTTTTTTGATTCGCTTCGCTCATCTCTAATGAGTGTGCACAAATGAGCGCTTAATGTTAGAATTAACGATCTCTGCCTGATTGTCGAGTTTAGTTTGACCCAAAAACGGATCGCTAAATCGAAAACAGGATTAGACTTCAATATTTTTAGGATACTGTAAAACGACTGCGTAAATAATTACAATAAGCAAACCTCAACTGTACATGACGATAGTCACGTACATCAAAATCAAAGGTTTCCCAATAGAATCGGTAAGATTAAAGTTCAATCGTTACGCAAGTATGTCAGATCAATAATTGCTAACAGCGCCTCATATGTTCAATAACAAACTGGGTCAGTAAAACAAAAAATGCGGTGTGGCGGATATACGAACTAAACGTCAGACTGGTGAGTAAAAATTAGGAATGTAAATAAAGAGAACGAATTTTCTCAGCTCAGCGACCAGCAATTCTACGGTACGAGTTAGGTGCGGTATTTAATACATATATATACAATAAATAATACAGATAATCATGCCCCATAGAACAACTCCGAAGTGAGTCTTTACAAAATCACTTGCTATGGCTTTCACTTTGAATGACTGAGCATGAAAAAGGATCAAGTTCGGATTACGGATTGATGAAAGGTTGTTTGTCCTTATATTCGAATGATCATTGCCATTCGTTTGACAGGATTCTGTGTGTACGCGCATATCTACTTTAAGTTTGTAGACGGATTTACAATGTACACTAATTTTGTTAGTCATACTTTCGTACAAAGAGCGTTTCATAATGAACAACTGATGCTACATGCTTTTTACTTCGTTTTCGTATTGTTGAACGTCGATTCAGTAATACTGCTCAGTTGTCTGATCGCTTTTCCCGTTCTGCTTCGTACCACGCTGAGTTCGATCGTACCAACCCATGCATATTTTCGATCAACCAGCCTTTAACCTATCGGTGGATACACCCTCATCACCAGAGTTTAAAATAGTAAGCTCACTTTTAACTACTCGTTGGTTACAAAGTAGTTAAGATAAAACTGTAAGCTTTTACGTTCGTTGGGAGTGGTCTTGTTCCCAGTGTTGGTGGATATAGAATCCAGAAAAGAACACTTTCTGAAAAACCTTTATGAGTACCACCAGTGCATTCAACTCCGTGAGCTACTAGACATCATAGACTGTGTTAGGTGGACCTAACTTTTCACTCAAACTAATGCTTCGGATCTTGAGAGGATGGTGCTCTCACACAAATAAACATGTGATGATGATGATGAGACAAGCACTGGCATGAGGATGGTGTTTAACTTGAATATACACAACCTTTCGGCGCTACAGAGCTGAGCATCTGTTTTGCCGAATGATTATTAGTATCCTGCTGTTCGCTCGTGGCAGTCTTCTGTATAACACAATGAACCTCCAGCGATTGACAGTTTTCAACCTCAGCAGCAAGAGTTGGATTGATTATCAACACAAAAGTGGAGGCACTGGGATTTTGCCTGTGACCAGCACTCAGATGAACTTTACATGATGATGTGTAAATGGACTTTACCATGATGTATTTTATTGACTTTGAACTGAGGGTCTGCATAGTTAAGGCCAGCTTCAACGTTCGACATTACGATGAACCCGTGCGGGAATATCACACTCAGAAATTTAGATGGAGCTGATAATGTATAAGGCTTTGACGCTTTGCACACAATTTTAACAGTCAGAAGCTGATCCTATGTTAGATAAGCAAGCGATTCCAAGACATTTTCTATAAGCCCTTTTCTGGACATCCGATGATCGAACGCAGTTCAGAATAAAGCTGAAATCAGTGAAACAGAGTGTATGTTGGTATTGTGTCTGTTCCGCCATCAAACAAACGTATGCTGAATGAAAACCAATGAATTAGAATCAGAAGTCACTATACATGTTGTTTAGCTATTTAGCGAAGCCCTCATCATCAGAAAGTGCGATACAAGGATGTAACTCAGATCATGAAGGGATACAACCCTGAAGCCGGCAACCCAAAGAAATGCAACCAACAGAAGCGCCAGAAAATTTCGTGTCACAATTCTATTACCTTAAATTCAAGTGAACTCAAGCATGCAAGTGTACTGCTGACTAATATGGATGTGTAGCATCGGTCGCATACATGTAAATCAGCCTGAACGCATCAGTTTTTATCTGTACAAACTGGAGACCACTATGGTCCAGTGAAACATATCGTTGAATTTCAGGAAGCTGGACTGCGGCAAACTCTCATCTTTTCTCTTATTCAGCTTTCTTTATCTAATTGATCCTGAACGCTGTCTTTGTCTTCTTAAGCAAAAGTTGAACTCCTTTCATTTTTCCTCATTCTACCAAATCTATGTGAACATCGACAAGAACATTTGAACTCTTTCCGCGACAGATATCTTGCTGTCTTTTTTCTCATATCACACAAACTTAGTATTTATTGATCTTCTTTGCCCAATGCTCACCATTGAACAATCTCCCATGCTCCAACTCCACGAATTAGGGATCCCCTTTTAGTTCATAATTTAGTCAGATATGTAGTGTGTACCACGTTACCATGTCTGTTACTCACACGCTTTCGGATCCTCTTCCTTCGGATCTACACTGCAGAAAATGTTTTGATGAAACAAAGAAGGATGCAGTCCATTTTTGGTGGCTTTTTGGACATTGTTTGAGTTCACTTACAATGACAAACTAATCCATGTATGGATGCCGTGAAAGCGTGTATAATGGGCACCATCCGGTTGAAGTAATTCACCCAAGCAGATTATACTCCCTCAGGGCTATGGTACAATGATAGTGCACTTACCTAATATGTAAATGTGTTGCAGTTTAGAAGTCTTGCTAAACGCAGCATACGTTTCTTGTTGCCCAAACTGACGGACGTAGACTGGTCTTTGTTCAATTTTCTTATTGTCTACACATTCTATTTTAATGTACAAATGAGTATGCGCTAGACCACTAACAATATGTAGAGCTTTTCCTGAAGAGTAGTCGAAATGTAGTCCCTCCAGGCATCGAACTAAAGGAACACAGTAAGGTTTAGAAACAAACCGTATATTTCTGGCAACGTTTGGAAATATGATAAGTAGTTAGCTCTAGCCTAGTCTGGGACCAACGGCAGCAACCAAGAGGAGAAAGG